AGCAGACATAGCGTTAAACGAATTTTTGCTGTATAACTGGGATTATCAAAAGTGTTCTTATATTGGATTAGCACGATATGTTGATGATATGGTGTTAGTTTCATAAATGGATAAAAAGAAAATCCAGTGTTAGGTCTTATGGCACGTCTTTAATATGTGCTATAACACCTCCCCCCATAAAAACAAGATGAACTTCCACGTTCGTCTTGGAAAACCAATTTGGTAATGCGTAAGTTGTTTGAGGTAGCACGCAACAATATGTTGAAAATGACGGATAAGTGGTGTCATTTATGTTGTAACATACACTGTCTTTAGCAACAGTTTGACCTTGTGTACTTCCAGCTACTGCGCCACCAGTTGATCCTGCAATTGCAGGAGTTGCTACCGGTCCAACAGAAGCAGCAACTGCAGGGGTTGCTGCTGCAACGGGAGCACCAACGGCTCCTCCGACAGGTGCTGCAACCGCAGGCACTCCACCACCCAATGGAGCCCCTACACCACCCAATGGAGCCCCTACACCACCCAATGGAGCCCCTTTACCACCCAATGGAGCTCCTATACCACCCAATGGAGCCCCTACACCACCCAATGGAGCCCTTGAAAGCGCTGGACCACCAAATGGCACTCCGATGCCCGGAGCAAAAGGTGCGCCAAATATCAAGGGAACGGGTATCGGAACCGGAAATGGTGGTCTGAATCCGTATCGCCTCCCATCGAACGATGTCGGCCATATTTTGCATCGGAACTGTATCATCTTCGATATAATCTCTATCTCGGTAAGAGTCTCCTCCATAAGATGAACGACCTCCATACGAATCGCTATATGATTTTCTTCCTGGTCTGGACCTTTCTACATAACCATCAACATAAGAATAAGTGGACACCAAGGTGACCAGTACAGCACATTGTAACAATAACCAAGTCATTGTACGTAAGTGGCGTCAAAACGATAAAAATCCTCGTACAACTTCTGCAAACAGAAACAACACCGTATTTGAAGACAAATTGTTCGACAAAACATCTAGGTGTTGTGGCGGCTGTATTATCTGGAAACCAAGTTGTTAGGTCCCGGTATACGTTGTTGTGTATAAATAGTTTATTAAGTTACTGAAGATGATCTCTTTTGCACAAAATTAGCGTATATTTATAGTTAAGTTTACACAAAAAGCAGAATATTCTAGAGTTGATAAACTAAACTGGGAAACTGGGGAGACATGCAAGAGATCATAGAAACTAAAGAAACCAAGAACTAACACTGGGGAAAATCCTGACAGAGAGAAGAGAACGAAAAGAACTAACTTTTCTTCTTTTCTTCATAGTGATAAGACGTGTTTATCTCCATGGTCTGATTTCTCCCTTCTCTTCTTTCTGTCACATACATACTTATATACATACGTACTTTTATTCATGATGTCATCACAACCACTAGCTAGTGGAATACCAAAACCTGGTTTTATCAATGTTAAAAGGGATG